CTTGATGTCCCCTGCGACTATGGTCCCAAGCCCGCAGGATCAACTACTCGGTCCCTCTGGGTAGCTGGCTGTGACCAAGCAATGACCATAACCTTGTACAGGGCTATTTTTAAATTACAAAAAAAAAAAAAAAGTTTCTTGCATTCCAAAATATCTTTATGAGGCAGTATAATGATTCTAAGTAATTATAATTATGAGAAGTCTTATTGACAAAGGTAAATTATTTGTTATCTATAACTAAGTTAGCAATCATTAGTCCAAATTCTAACATATCAGATACCTCAAAAAAAAAAAAAATCTAATACTTTCAACTATGTCTGAAATCAACAAATGGTCCAGATCAATTGATTTTAGACATAGAAAAATACTTCAACTCCTATTTGCTTAGAATTTATTATATATATATTTTTTAATTTTATCTATTACTAAACTAGTTTTCCCCTGTGAGCATAAAGGAGAGTTAGTTTAATCTACTTGAGATACTATGTGCATTTCCATCCCAAATCATTAGCAATTAAAATAAACTATAGGAAGCACACTTCTCAATAATTGTTAAAACAAGGAACTTCATAATAGTATCCTAACTTGATGCTATTAAGTCATATAAATTATGTAATCACAAAACCGTCAAGACAGATTTCATCCAAATTTTTCATGTTCCATAGTAAATTTGACTGTTTTTCAAGAAGATGAGGCATAACTTACAGGCTAGTCAAAGTATACATGTTGCATAGTATACTTCTACTACACAATGAAGAGGCAATCTATGTTTTAAAACCCAGAAAACCAAACTCATGCCATAGAGTTGGTTATGACTCACAGCGGCCTCTCCTTGGGTTTCAGAAGTAGTATCTCTAGGGAAGTAGATTGCCCAATCTTCCTTCTGAGGAGTGGCTGCTGGTGGGTCTGAACCACCATCCTTCTGGTTAGCAGTCCAATGCTTTAGGCACTATGCCACTAGAGCTCCTCCCAATCTATATTTATATAATATAAATGTGAGATTTTAATTTTTTTTCTATTTTTAATAATAATGAATGACCTCAACTAAGGTATGTGAATGAATATTGTAATATTAAGATACACACACACACAGGTTAATTCTGAAAAATTCCTGGTAAAGTAAAACAGGTTGAACTTTTGGATCTTTCTCTCTCTCCCTGCTTCCCTTTCTTGGGCTCTCTTTCTCTTCTGCAAAAAGGACATGGAGGAAGCATCTTCTGACCTCCTCTAACTTCACAAGAGGAAGACAGAATCATTACTATGAGACCAGATATTCCACCACTTTCCAACCTTTTACCATTGCTGACTTCAACTGTCCCTCCCACAGCACTCACAACTTCTCTTCTGAGTTGGATAATTTGTTGCAATGGCCACACAGAACCCACAGACAATACTTACAATTATGGGTTTTTTTAGGGAAGCAACAGGTTACAATTCAGGTTCAGGAATGTGCTCAGGATACAATTCTTTAATCTGGAAGTCTCTCCTTTGCAATACCCTCAGGCTCGCTACTCTTGCCCTTGGCATTTAGGCCTGGCCTCTGTCCTGCTCAGGCAAGTGGTACAAAGCTGTTTCAGCTCTGCCAATGTGCACACCACTACACCAGCAAGCCTCCTGCCCAAAGGCACTCAGCTTTCTTGCTCTGTGGACTGGAAAGCCTACTGCGCTCTCTCTTGCCTCTTGGTTCCTCAGCCGGGACTCTGCTGGGTCATCTCTGCTAAGGAGGCCCATTGCAGGGATTTCAGGCCCAAGGACATGTTCCACGTCATCTCCAGCTCTTTTCTCTTGATGGCAGTGAGATGGTCTCTCTACCTCTAAGAAGGCTCACTGTAAGCCTGGAAGAATGATGAAACTAAGCAATTCCAAAGTCAGAGTTCTGACACCTTTGCAGGGTCCCAGCCAGTAATCTGGTGGGAGTTACAAAGACTATGGTTGGAAGAGCCACACCAAGTACTTCACTGCACCACATCTTCCTTTCTTCCTCCCGCCTTTCCTTTTTCCTTCCTCCTTTCCTTCTTCCCTCTCTCCCTCTGTGCCTCTTTCCTTCTTCCCCATAGAATCACAGCATTATAACCAGTGTGATTTCCAGAAAATATTTTAAAAAATAAATATAACATTTTGATTTTTCCATTCACAATGCCATTTTCTTTTGGCTACAGTTGCAAGGAAGATTTTCAGCAATGTCTTCAGAAGAAGCAATTTGCATAGGAGAAAAAAGATATCCTCAGAATCTACTTATTTTAGTATTTTCTTTTACAGAATATTCTGAAGCTCTTCCTGGTCTCCCTGTTTCATATGCTGCTTTGCTAAGAATTAAGAAGAGTTCATCTTCAGCACTCTTTGGTTCAAAGAACAGACCACGATATAGCAGTCCCTCATTAGGAACAATGAGTGTTTCTTCACCGAGTTGGCGAGGGACAGCTCAGCATTATCATTCTCCCTTCAATCTTTATCATTCTTCAGAAGCCTTCAAACAAGATGGTAAGTTTATTCTCTGCTTGACACATCTTTCAGTATTCTTTTTGCATTTCACTCTTATTTAACTACTTATTTTACTAATCCTGATTTAAGATTGAGATTAAATAAACTCACATATACTGAGACTAAAATAAATTAAATTTTCAGGAGACCAATTTGGCAATGAATGTCAAGAGCCTTAAAATAGTCATATCTTTCAATCCATTCATTTCATTTCCAGAAATATATTCTCCATAAAGAGATAATAAGCAATGCATACAAAAATATATGTGTACAATTAGCATTATTTATACAAGTGGAAAATAAGAAGCTAACTAAATGCCCAACACTAAGAAATCAGTTAAAGACTATTATGCAACTATTAAAGTTATGATTTGAATGAGAACATTTTCTAGTTGTTCTCTAACTCTGTCATTTTTAGATAAACCAATGAAACAATAGAAAGTTATTTATCAGTCCATGAGAATCATCAGTGCTTATTACCAAACTCTCTATTAGGACCTTTTCATAACTTATTTTCCTCAATTCTCCCAACAAATATGAGGTGGTTATTGTTAGTGTTATTTATACAAATGGAAACTCAGGGACAAATCACTTGCTCAAGGTCACTTTGTTAGCAACTGGTAGAGACAGTTTTCATT